GCGGCTCCTCTCCTGGTGCGGGCAGGGCTGTGAGGAGGAGGGCGGCGGGGATCTGTGAGGTGGGGGGGTCCTGGGCAGGGGTGGGGAGCCCCCCTGGTTGGCACGGCTGTGCCTCTGACTGTTGGCGGTGCCTGCAGGTAACGGGTTTGTTGGGTGACGCTGCTCAGTGTCAGGCAGAAGGGCTTTCACCTCCGGGAGGCAGGGGTGACCCTCATTCCTTTTCTCCCTCTAGACAGAGGCCGAGGGGGCAGTAAGCGCAGTCCCCGTGGCTGTGGTGGGGGTGGCTGCGGGCAGGCCCTGGAGCTGGGGGTAGTGAGACCCTCGGGGGGGCAGCGGGTGGTCGAGCGCAGTGACGGGGAGCTTGAAGCAGGTGGTGGGAACTGGTGTAACCAGTGGCGCCTGCCCCTTCGAGCGGGCAGCATGGGGGGCTCGCTGCTGGAGATGGGACGGCTTTGTCTTCATAGAAGATGCCTTGCAGGCGAGAATCACACTAGAAGGGTATGTTGTTTAACCTCAAGTTAGAAAATAGGTATTTGAGTATTAAAGCCAGGGTCAGTGGTGTTGGTCTTGTCACCCAGATCCCCTGAATTCCTCTGGGAGATGGCCGGTTTTTGAGCCATTCTGATTAGCTAAAAGTACTGTAATTGTGCATAATGGCTTAGATGTGCTCAGCCTGTGGTGTTGCTCTGTGTCCTGTCAACTTTTGCTGAATTTGGAGCTACTGCCGGGGAGGAGCATGGTATAATAGTTGTACTTGATTGCGCAGCACTCAGCGGAGCTGATAGTAGAGACCTTCTGGTGGTTGTAATTTGATGGAGCAGAAAGTCATGAGAAGAGGTTTAGAAGAAACACGTCTCTTACAGTGAAGAAGTTGTGATAGTTCTTTTGGTTAAGATTCAGCAAGGCAGTATTCTGAAGCTTCATACAACCACTGGCTTTACTGGTTTAAAAGCAAATATTGCGCTTCCAAAGATGGTCAAATGACTGTTTTGAATCACAGATTATTTTTAAGGAAGAAAAAAAGAAAGAGGACTTAACATTCATTGTTTTTCTGATAAAAGTTAAGATGGTGACTACATAAGTGATTAATACATTTCGCTGGATAAATTTTGAGTTAATTGTTTTGGTAATATCTTTCTACTCACTGTAGAAATAGAGGACTTAGATACCAACTGTGGGAGTAGATTACTCAAATTCTTAGAAGTTAGTATTTTTGAGGGGGATGACCTCTGGTAGGTATGTGTCTTTCACTGTGGAATGAAAGACTTCCTGCATTTCTACAGTACTGTTGGACTGCTTGTTACTACCTACACTTTGCCAGTTGCCTCTGCACGGTCTCTGGAGGGTGCATGTCTGAGCAAGAGAGAGAAACGGAGTTAAAGCAACTTGGCAGAAGCAGTGTACAGAGTTTGTGAATTCTCAGGGTAGTGGGCTTATTGTTTATATACCAAATTGCAGTGTATATATACAATAGATTGCACTGTATTTCTGTGTATTTGAACACAGACAGGGAGATCTGTAGTGAAATTAATTTTGCATATTGTCAGGCCTTAGTAGTTTCTACATTTGATAATAGCTTGCATTTACTTGATATGCCATATGTAAATTAGGCTGCTGTGTTACTTTAGGGTGCTGTGGCAATATCTAGCTATTCTTTCCCTCTTGTTTTGAAGTCCTATCGCTAGTCATTTAATACTCTGTGCAGTAGTCTCATAGATAAAGTGGTCAAGTTCAGTTTTCTTCTAATATGGTAGACATGTGTGCAGAAGCTTAAATAGTATGTTGCTCCTGTGTACTGAAATTAAATGTATATGGCATGGGTATATTGAGAGGCAGGATCAGGATCACCAGAATCATCAACTGGAGGAGATGCTGGCTTTTTGGAGTGGATTGCAGCTTCTATATCTGTGAGACTGAGTGGCCAAAGATGCCCTCTATTCATCTGCCATTTGCCCTTAGTTGATCTGGATTCATTTGAGGAAGATGATGACAGTGGAAAAAAAAAAAAAATCTAATGGCAGCAAAAATGCTTGAAGTAGAAGATTTGTCTTGGCCATTCAGTCTTGGAGATGAAGTGGCAGAAATATTTTGAAATATGATCTCTGGGAAACCATCATCTCCACTTGATGCTGCCTTTGCCTCTTTGTCCTCCCCATACACAGTGTATATGTTCTCCATATAGCTTTTCTGTATTTATGCTCTGTTCATGTATTAAATCTGTACACACATCCCTATCTATTACTTTAGTTCATATGGGGAAATATTGCTTTGCTATCCATCATACCACTCTACAGGAGTGTATCCTTGGCAGATAGTGAGGTATGACTGTGTTGCTTATAGAGGTATATAAGCGCGGGTTTAAGAGAAACATAAAAGCAGTGAGTTACTGAAACTGCATTCTTTAAGGGAATGGTGTAACCCCTGCTTTTCTTTAGTGAGATCAGTATTCCCTTATCATAAATTTTAGGGTGGTATATCTGGATTGTGGTGGGTAGATGTAAAATTCTCAGACTTCTTCGTTTAAATAGTCATCATTCTGATTTTCTACAGTAGTCTGTTCCTCTACTCCTAGCCTAAAATATTTTGCATAATATTTAAATGCAGTCACTTTCCCTGTAAGGCATCCTATGCATTTGATCGCCAGTCAGAGAGGGACCTGGGGGTGTTGATTGACAGCCGGCTGAACAGGAGCCAGCAGTGTGCCCAGGGGGCCAAGAAGGCCAGTGGCATCCTGGCTTGTGTCAGCACTAGCATGGCCAGCAGGGACAGGGAAGGGATCTGACCCCTGTACTCGGCACTGGTGAGGCTGCACCTCGATTTCTGTGTTCAGTTTTGGGCCCCTCACTCCAAAAAGGACATTGAATGACTCGAGCGTGTCCAGAGAAGGGCAACGGAGCTGGTGCAGGGTCTGGAGCACAGGTCGTACGGGGAGTGGCCGAGGGAACTGGGGGGGTTTAGTCTGGAGAAGAGGAGGCTGAGGGGAGACCTCATCGCCCTCTGCAGCTACCTGAAAGGAGGGTGCAGAGAGCTGGGGATGAGTCTCTTTAACCAAGTAGTAAGTGATAGGACAGGAGGTAATGGCCTCAAATTGTGCCTGGATATTAGGAAGTATTTCTTTCCAGAAGGGGTTGTTAGGCGTTGGAACGGCCTGCCCAGGGCAGCGGTAGAGTCCCCATCCCTGGAAGTGTTTAAGAATTGGGTCAATTATTTCCACAGATGCTTGCATTTTTTTGCTGTATATATGGCTATCTGAACATGTACAGATGCTTCTGTGTCACCGATGTATGTGTCTGCATGTGCATCTATTCTGGGACATGGGTTATAATTCTGTGTCTTCTTTGAGCTTGGGGCAGCACAGGTGAGTAGTGGGAACTTGTGTTTGTGTTTATAGAGGTTGAAGAAGAGAGGCTGGCAGTGGTCAGGCATGTGTTCATCAGGATGAAGACCGGGTAAATGTGTTTGTATCGGGCTAGTTTTGGGGACTTCTAGTCTCACCTCTTCTGTGGTTCTGCGGTCCTCTAGCTCCAGGAGTCTCTTTCCTGTGAACATACAGGTGGATGCTCACTTGGCTTTCTATCTTCAGTCCTTCATATCTCCTTTTCTGGTCCTTTACAAGGTTTTCCACTGGGTTTCCTGCATTTCTTCCCTATTACCCTGGACTTGTTTATAGTGGGAGTGGGGATTGTGAGGAGGTGCCATATGCTTGGATCTTCAGGAGTCTTCAGTGAGTTCTGCATGAGACAGATCCCTTTTTTGGGACTAGGGAATTTGAAAGCTCTTCCGTAAGCTCCTGTCTGTGAGGAGCAGTGGCTGGGGTCTCTGGCACGCAGAGTCTGGATGGGTTAGGTTGTCACGTGCTTTTGTCATCCCGCATATGGATGGAGTAGGTGTAGCATGGCTGTTGGCTGCAAGAGTTACATGTCTTGCCCTCCCTCCTAGAGTATATTGTCTAGAATTTCCAGTGAGAATGACTGCAATGGATAGATAAACAAAGCAAAATTGAACAATAATGAAGAGATACTTTGTTACTGTTTGTATTTTTTCTTGTCATTTGTTGATACATGATGGCAAATATGTGGCAGCATACATAGAAATGTGAAAGTTAGTTTCAGTGTGTTCAAATCCTGGGACCATTTTCTGTGTTATGTGTTCATAGTGATCTGTTGATCCAGCAACTTTGTTGCCTAACTGTAAGGCTGTTGATGAACATTCTTTTCCATCCAGTTGTGCTAATGAAAAGCATCAAAAGCCTAACATGTGCTTGAATTATTTTTTTGATGTTAGTAAGAGTTTTCCCTCCTGTAGGCATTCTGTTTTCCTGTGCAGACAGTCTCTTGGTTGAAATTAAACCGAATCCATCTCTGAGTTGTGATCCTTTAACATGCAAAATTATAAGACTGAGAATTAGTCCAATAAGCAATGCTGCATATGATATATAATATCTTCAAAATTATCAACTGAATTTGGCAATATTTATCAGAAATTCCAATTTGTAAAAGTTGAAAAAATAATGATGATTTCTGATAGGAGTATTTCCCTCTCCCATAAATGTTCTAGCTTAAAGTGCGTGCTTCTCAGCACCAGTAGGTTTATAAAAATAATTCACCTTTAAGATTTTTAAGTGATGTTTGGCAAAAGTTTAATTGCTGTACTAGAACACAGTGACTACCTTGCAAGAGCTTTGTCTTGAAATAGATAAAAATGGGTTTTAATAAGGGTGTTGTTATCTTTTATCTAGAGATGAAATTCAGACATTATTATTATTATTTTTATTATTTTATTATTTTATTATTTATTTTATTATTATTTTTTTTTTTTTTTTACTGGAGATAACACACAGTGCCTGCAGAAAGCTTGGTACTTGAAGTAGATATAAGGCTGATCTGACAGCTCAGTAGCTCCTCATTTGAGGTCTTCTCTGGAATTATCACAAGTTGTCAGGAATGCCTGAGGACTATTTTTCTTGGTCCCTGTTTTGAGAGATTTCTATTTAGCAGTCTGTTAGAAATAAACTGTACCTATTAGAGATGTACGAGTTGTGTAAGCTCTGAGTTTGATATTTGGAAATCTGTTTATCGATACTAGTCAGTATGCATTCAAAGCTGTGTAGTCTACCTTCCTCTTCATCTGCTCAGGCTTTATAGATACAGTAGTCGGGTTTGGTGGGTTTTGTTTTTTTTGGGTTTTTTTTTTGTGAGTTCTGTGTTTTTTTTCTGTCCAGGTGCTATTGGTTGTTGTAAACTTTGCCAGTGGAAGCTGTCTACATCTTTTGATAATCTTCTATCTGCTAAAATAGGCTTGGAGGTATTACATTTTTCTTAAGATCTCTACATGACCTCTGCATATTTCTGTAGTGGACTCAAACACATGCTTTTGGTTGTTTTGGTTTTTTTTTTTTTGTGTGCATGTGTAATTAACAGCTCTCAAGTATGCTGTAGAGGTGGATGCTTACACAGAAGTAAATTAGTAGGTGTCAGAACACCAAACTATTTTTTTAGTATGTCTTGTACACTGTAGGACAGCTTGAAAAAAATTAAGTATACCAAATGCTAGAGGTTCATGTATCTGGTGAGCTTCAGGACATAGGTGGACTCTTTTTGTCCCAGTCAGGTAGATGCAGGATTGCTGCAACTCTAGGTGCTCAAATCTGGGGGCTACAGAAGTTCTGATTTTTGGTGATACTGTATGTATGTGAAATGCTTAGCGTGATGTTTAGTTGCAAGTTATGTCAGGCTTGTGTCACGCTTCATTGTAGAAAATTTAGACCTTGCTTGCATACTGCACTATCTTTTTAAAATTGATTTTTAACTTTTTTTTTTTTTTTCCCCTGAAGAATACTGCATCCAGTTTGGACCCCTCAATAAGATATTAATAAATGGATCAAGTTCAGTGGAGGGCCACTGAAATGGTGGGAGCTGGTGCACTTGCTCTGTGAGGAGAGGCTGGAGGAGCTGGGCTTGTCAGTCTGTAGCAGAGATGGCTTTGGGGTTGGGATGGGGACCTTACAGAAGCCCCCAGTGCTCCTGGGGAGATCACTGAGGACATGGTGCAGGATGGAAGCACAGAGAGACAGCAGATGGAAGTTAACACCTGAGAGGCTTGGCTTGGAACACTTTTTCCCCATGGGGACAGCCAGGCGGAAGCACAGGTTGCCCAGGGAGGCTGACCAGTGTCTGCCCTTGAATGATTGCAAGACTGGACTGGATGAAGCCTTGAGCAGCCTGATCTGATTTCAGAGCTGACCTGCTGTGAGCAGGAGATTGGAGCAGAGGCCTCCTAAGGCCCCTTTCAGCCTGAATTGTTCTGTGATGTCATGATGATCTGAGCTTTAAATTGTGCTGTTAGCCTGCATGGTTATAAACAGTTTATGGTAGAAGAATGATTTGGCTTAGGTCAAACTATTATAGATTGCTTGACCAGCTAATTTGGATCAGGTCATGCTGTTAACATAAATATGTAGCAGTTCAGTAACTTAAAGAATGCTATTTAATTTCTCCATTGTATGATCATAAGCACTGATAAAACTTACTTTGTTTCAGATAAATGCAAGTGAAATTCAAAGATTTTCAGATTTTCCATTGTCAAAGAAAACTCTAAAAGGTGAGTACAAAAGTTTTTGGAAAGTAATTTGCATCTGAATTTTTTTTTTTTCTTTAAACTAAGTTTTAGATAAGTATTGTCATGTACAGTGTTTTCTAAATGAAGGAATACATCTCTGGACAAGACAAAAATAAAGTGTTTGGTTGTTTTTTTTTTCTTCCTCTCCTGCACACTCTCTTCTCTTCCCACACTGCAAATACTAGGATTGCAGGAAGCTCAGTATCGTGTGGTAACGGAGATACAGAGGCAAACCATTGGTTTGGCTTTACAAGGCAAAGATGTACTTGGAGCTGCAAAGACTGGATCAGGCAAAACCTTGGCTTTTATTGTTCCTGTAAGTAACTTGCATCCTTCCATTTGTACTTAAACCAAGTTATCTGGGAAATACTGGATGTCAAACAGCTTAGGTTAATAGATCCTGGGAGAAAAGCTATAATTCAAGTGATCTAGATGTTCCGAGAAAGCCACCATACTAATTTTATAAAGCATCCTGAGGTTCTGAAAGAAGTGTATTTTTGGCCCTAGGAATATTCTGACACTTAGAAATACCATTTTGATCCTTACATTAGTAGACACGGTGTCATTTAGGAAGTGCTTTGTTTTTCTCCCAGGAATCTGTTTTCCTGGTGCAGCTCTTGTTGTCCAGTTCTTTTAAAATTTAAAAACTAAATGTATGAAATAGAATGGTAAAATTTCTTCAATTCCTTAGACTTTTTTTAGATGGTTTACACCCCTTTAAAATTTTAGTATTAGGACTTTATATAGCAAACTTAAGTTTAGTGATTGTAGACTTCCATTTCCTTGTTGTCTTCTGTGAATTCCTTAGAACTCACTTCTAGATGTAAGTGGGAAAACAGGATGAAAAGCCGTCATGAATAACATGCATTTGACTTTTATTCAAAGTGTCATGCTCTGCATTTAATATCTTCAAGTTGAAAATATAATTGAGACATTTGCTTAAAGTGCATGTATAAGTGGATAAAAACCCGATCATGTTATGATTTGATAAATGGAAAAATGTTGTTTTGATGATTTTTTTTTTTGGTTTAGATGTTACTTGCATTTTTGTGAGTGTAAATTTCTTTGGAGCCTATTCTGTCAGTAACTGTGGGAACAGTAGTAGTTGTTTTGAATACCCTCTCTAGTTGAGAAGATTTATGTTTTATGCTGAAGATTAAAAAAAATATATGTGGCTTCAAAGGCCATCTTGTGAACCTGAGAAGCAAAAGTGAGATTGCTCGATTAGTAAGTCTAGGAATAACTGTTTTACAAGCCGTATTTTTAAACAGTTTTAGGGGAGAAAAGTGATGGGTGGAGTAGGAGAGGTGAAGAATGAAACAAACAAACAAACAAATTATACAAAGATGCTTAACAGGCCTTCAGTATTTCAGAATGTTTCCAGTATTCATACCTATGAAATTTTTGTGTTAGGATTAGCTAAGTGTTTTTGCAGTGTGAATTCATAAGAGGAGGAATAATTCTGGTTTGAGGTGTATGGCAACTTTAGTTGGAATGCTCTGTATATAGGATGTGTGGATAGTACTGCTTCAAGTCTATAACCAGAATTAAAGCTGCAATAATTCATTTTCTACTAGTTGCTCATTCTGTTTCTGGTTCTCACAAAATCTTAGGAGCAAATATGCTCCTATCACATGTTTTTCTACATGTGATTTCTATTCTTGTATAAATGATTAAGACTTAATTTCCAGAATTTAGCAGAGTAGGATTAATTGTGCAGCAAAATGCTTATGATTTACCACCCATTACTATCTATCATAGATTAGTACTGGGGAACTTTGCTACAGCAAGTATCATTACCATCAGTTAAAATTGATATATAATCAAATGATGTGAAATGTATACTGATGTTTCTTTAGGTCATTATTTTAATTTGTGTGGCTTTATCATTTTTTATGACAGTTTTTGTTTCAAATTTGTTGTTGTTACATATTTTCCTTCTGAGATTTTTATAATGGTAATATGGTAATTTTTTTCAGGCTTTGGAACTCCTGTATCGCCATCAGTGGACTTCAGCTGATGGACTGGGAGTTCTGATAATATCACCTACCCGGGAACTGGCATATCAGACCTTCAAAGTTCTACGTAAAGTGGGAAGGAATCATGAGTTCTCAGCTGGTCTTGTCATTGGAGGAAAGGTGTGTCCTGTCTTGGAGTCTGCTGTATGGAAGCATTAATGAGTACTATAATTAAGGGCTGGTTTAGGAAGAAAACCCTAGAAGAGAAAAATCTGGGAAGAGTAGTTAAAGGGAATCTGTCAATGACACACTCGTTTTCCTGTCTGTGCACTTTTTTGTCTTTTGAAGCTTTTGCATATTTACAGTCATTCCAGGTTAAATGACTGGATGGACCTTTCTGCCAAGCCTTCCAGGATTATCCTGTTAATTTAGATTGTTCCAGAATACTTTCTGCTCAAGCCACAAGTGTGAACATGCTGAAGAAATTGTGATATTTATGTAGAGAGAGCAAAGGCTGATCCTTGACTATTCTTTCTGAAAACTATCAATAGGTTAAGCTGACCTGACTCTCGCTGGCACTGGGCTTCTTGTGTGAACAACTAGAGCTAAACTGGTTTAATTTCTTTTCAGGATCTGAAAGAAGAGTCTGAAAGAATCCACCAAATAAATATGCTAATTTGCACTCCAGGACGGCTTCTACAGCACATGGATGAAACTTCATATTTCTATGCATCTGATCTGCAAATGTTGAGTAAGTTTTTCAAGTACTTGAAAGTACTCCAAAACGTTTTGTAAGGGTTCATAATTGTGTGGAGCTCTGCCTTGGTTAAAAAGTGTATCCTAGTCATGGTATGTAGATGAAATGTCATTTAAGTTCGCACATACAAATCTAAAATAGGAAACAAGAAAACTCCTTTCTTGTGTGTACTTTCTCTGAAAGCAATTGGTGAGTGTGTCTTCCTTTAGCATGATAAGAACAAATAGGTGAGTTAGTAAGGAACCCAAAATCAAATGTAGTGTCCCATATAATCCTTTAGATCTGTCTTGGCTAATACTGGCCTTTCCTTTCTGGTTATGGCTGTCATGTTTTTCCCAACATGATAATTAACTACATGAAATGTCCATTATAGTGTGGTATTTTGGGCCAGTTCTAGAAAATACTCTTCTTTGAATTTTAAGATAACGTGCTGTTCCTTTCATTGATTTGTTAGTATAGTTAACATTTCTTTTAATATTTCTTTTCTTTCTTCCAACCTGAACAAAAATTTCAGTGTAATGAAAAGGTTTGCCTCTCTCGAAGAATTGCGCATAATCTTTAGCATAGCTTGAGGAACTTAGAAGTAATTAAGAAGCTAATGAAGCTGATAAAATGTGAAATTATGCTTGCTACACTGAGTACAATTCATGGCAGTTAGACAAGAATTGCATTAAATGTAGGCCCTTTTCTTAAAGATTTGTCTCTGTGCTACCCTGTTTATTCCCTTCGTTTCAATAGTAAATTCAGTTTAGGTACAGGAGAGTCTGTTTTGCTCTGTCATGAATAGTACAGCACTGTTTTATATTCCATGCTTCGTTTCAGTAATAGAACAGGAATTTTTTAATTTGCAAATTGCTGAACTGTTTACTTGCAATGCTGATCTTCTGTGCTTCAGCATGTGAAACTGAGGGCTGTGGTGCATAGATTACGGTAAATGCTATGACTTCTATTGCAGTTTTTTAAAAAATATTTTATGGAGTACATGAATATCTAAAGAGAATCTTGTCATATACAGTAATTAAGTTAATCTCTGCAGTTTAAGTAGGCATGAATTTTTGTACCATATGGATTTAAATGTATGATTGTTTTTTTTAAAAAATAAATAAAGCTAAAACCAGATTTTTCTCAAATCTATCTCTCAATTCAGTTCTTGATGAAGCTGATAGAATTCTAGACATGGGGTTTGCTGATACAATGAATGCAATCATAGAAAACCTACCTAAGAAACGCCAGACCTTGCTTTTTTCCGCAACACAAACAAAATCTGTGAAGGATCTTGCACGACTGAGTCTGAAAGATCCAGAATATGTTTGGGTTCATGAGAGCGCCAAATTCAGGTATGCTGGGGTGGTTAGGGTTAAACAGATGATGATCCTTCTTAAATGTTTCTCTGACTCTTGGTTCCCTGAATCAGAAGTTACCTTGTGCATCTTCCTCCTTCTTTCCCTGTTTGATCCTGTTGTGTGCCTTCCTGAAAGCAAGGAATTTCCAGAAAGGGATACTAGTTCTGACTGATTCATTACAAGGAGACTGAACCTGCACTTTCCTTGTGGCTCCTCAGGCACCTTCTCAGACTTGAAATTTTTTCCTTCAGGAGCAAGACTCAGAGCGGGTTATAGCTTGGGTGTCAAGCTATACACTTGTAGTGTCCTGTGTGTAACAGCATTCACTTCTGAATTTCTACTTCTTTTGTTGTTTGGCTTCCTTGCCTCCTGTGTGTGCACATTTATTGTGCAGAACCACTGGATGTATTGCACAGATACAGTTCTTGATAAATTTGGCTTTCCAAGGAAACTCTACGCTATTGGGAAAGTGCAGAATGACAGTTGTTTGTATATTCAATGTTAGGTGCCCAAAGGAAAGCATGTGGCATTAGTCCATGTGCAGTAAGTCTTGTAGCTTCCTCATGTGCTAGGTTTACTGTGCACGTGCAGGTGTCCAGCCCCATCTGCACAAAATAAATTTGTTATGCCATACGGTTTGGATCAGAATGGGAGCCCCTTGCTAGAACAGTATGTGGTCTGCCAAGCTCAAAAAATCTAATGGATCACTAAAGAAAAAAATGTAAATGTTGCTTTTTGGCCCTTTTTTTTTTCTCTTGAAATGTAAGCAAAGAATGTTATTTAATATTTTGCATTTTTGTGGGCTCAATCAACTAAGTGTCATATTGCTTATAGGGTCATAGAATAGTTTGGGTTAGTTGGGAGGTTAAAGATGATCTACTTCCCTCTTTCCACTAAATCAGGTTGCTTAAAGCCCCATCCAACCTGGCCTGACCATATATGATTCTTTTTCTTATCTTCTATGAAATATGCATATATTTCCATATGTAAGATGCAGAAGAAAGATGAAGCACAGTGATAAAAATGGCTTTCCAATGAGCAAATGAGAAATCATCAGCAAAGTGAAAAGTAGAACCAGGTAGAATATTGAGGCAGTTCTAACTATTTGGTTTGATTATCTCTGTATTGTCCTGCAAATACCTTTTCTAAATCACTATCAATGGCATCTTAAATCAGCATGATTGCCAGAAGAAATTGTGTGGTTAATATACTCTTAGCAGAAGAAGGCGTTCAAGCCTAGTATGTCTTCATTTTGAGGACTGACTATGCATCTGTTTCACAGATCTTGCATTTTTTGTGTATATTTTAATGTACATTTAATTTTTTAAAAATATTTAGGAGAGTGCAGTTAGATAATAAACTGAATCCAGAACTGGAAAGTATTTGTTTTAGAGTTTACTGCCTTAGCATATAATAGGATATCGCCTTACAAAAACAGTTTCTTCTGAAAGACTTAAAAAGTGAAAGGTGCTCAGGCGTAATTCAAATTGAATAGCAGAATAAAAACAGGAGAAGTGTCTTGTAATTTAATCCTCACAAGTGGCCAGCTTTAGTAAAGTAATTTTGAATATCCTTGGTCTGTTTAGGGTGAAGCAGAGGGATTGTAAGAGATGCGCATTTAGATGTATTTCAAGGGCAAATATGCCAAAGAATGTTTTTAAATTTAATTTTATTTTGTAAAGAACAGAAAGGTTAGTTAAGATGACAATTTAGAGCTTTACAAAGTCATTTTGCATGTCAAGGTATAATCAGTGCAAGTACATCAGTGCTCTTTCTGTGCATGATTAGATTGTGCTTTGACATTGCCTTAAGCACAAATGATACTTTAATAGGATTAATAGACAAAATTGCATTTTAAATTAAGGCAGTTTGAATGTTGCTGCTTAGACATGGAGTTTGGTTTGCTAGTAGTAAATGAATTTAGAAGTAATGTCAGAAGTCATCTGTCCCTCCCCACTAGCTTTTACTAAGGAAATTGATTCATCTTTCAAGATCAGCTTTCTAGTGGAGCTGCTAAGACTTGTTCGTCAAAGTGGGAGAACTTTCCATCCTGACTCGTTTTTTCTCCTTTTTCTGGGTATTTGTCAGATACTCTTGACTTAAAAGAAAGGTCAGACAGCTCTGTAGATATTGTATGCCTGTGTATTCTTTCTCTTCCCTCTTTTTCTTTCTCTTTTTAATAAGAACCAACAGTATCTAAATGTACTTTTTGGGTTGTTTTTTTTCAGTACCCCAGCAACTTTGGATCAGAACTACGTTGTTTGTGAGCTTCAGCAAAAAGTAAACATGCTGTACTCTTTCTTGAGAAGTCACTTGAAAAAGAAGAGCATTGTGTTTTTTGCAAGCTGTAAAGAGGTATGGCTATTCCCCTCCTTTCTCCGTAACATTTAAAAACTATTAAAATGAAGGTATTAATGTAGATGTCAAGGCACCAGAGAGGTGAGATTCTGGACTAATTTGCAACAGGAATTGGGGGAGGAACCAAACATTACCTACTCCTGTAGGCATGTCATGCAGGGCCTGGCTATTGGGAAGCTCAACAACCCAGGCTTGATGCAGGAATATCCTAGAGACCTCAGTGTACTCAGCTGTTTTTGTGCTCTACTGTTAAAAATTAATTCTACAAGTTATGTCGCTAAGGGCCAGCTAATTCAGTTTTGTTTGGTAATACATTTTGTAGTTGGGTTACAAAGTCTTTTAGTAGTTGTGCCTAGTTTCTTTACAAGCTTTTAAATCTGTATATATAAAAAATTATAATTGTGAAATAGTGCAGGGAGAAGTTTTTCTTACGGTTATATAAGAAATAATCCTTCAAATATCTATTTGTGTAAATGTCCTGGGACTGCGTTTTTGAAGTTATTTGTATATGTGTTTTTATGGCACAGGTAATTATTCCTCTAACTACTGCATGTATTGAATATTTTACAACATACAGTGGCCTAGTAAATATTCATTGCAGTTCTTCCACTTGTGCAAGGTTACAATACTTTTGGTTTGCAGTTGGCTGGTGAGTACAGTGAGCTGATAGGCTTAGTTGTACAGAAATCCTCTGGGCTGCAGTTGTTCCTGCATTTTTTGTAACTATTTTCTTAAAATTAGATAGCTGCCTGCTACAAAATAATGCTGTGTCATGATACTGTATGTAAGAGTAAACAGGCTGCTTTTATAAGAGAAGCTGTTGAAGCTTGAAATAGTAAACCAAGAGAGTATAGACTGCTTTGAGTTACAAGCAAGAGACATTACACTCCTCCAGTATTGTCTAAAAGCAGTGCTTCTGATGGCCTTTTGATACTTTGGTCCCTTGCACACAACCCTGCCCAAGTTGTTCTTGCTGTTACCTACTCTGGTTCCTTTTAGGAATGCCATTGAAGAGCATGCCACTCTTGTGCCACAGTTCACTTCCTCTTTTAGTACCTGGGCATATGACAAAGTCTCAAAATAGCCTATCTTATCTCTGATGTGGAGAAAAGTATTTTATTTGATGTGCTAAGTCAGTTACTATATACTGAATACGATTTTAAGTTAAACATTGCATGGTAAAATTTTTCTTTTTCCCCTGATACGTTGGCTAGGTTCAGTATCTGTTCAGAGTCTTCTGTAAGCTTCAGCCTGGTCTTCCTGTGCTGGCACTCCATGGCAAGCAGCATCAGATGAAAAGAATGGAAGTCTACACTTGTTTTGTTCGGAAAAAAGCAGCAGTACTTTTCGCTACAGATATTGCAGCTCGTGGCCTGGGTATGTACCCACAGAAGCAATAGTTATTCACAAAGTGATGATTTAATGCTGTCGAGACTTTATCAGACTTTATGCTTTGAAGACCAATCTGATTTGTAAGAAATGAAGCTTTGTTAAAAAAATAATTAGTAGATTGCTTAAGAGCTCATTAGGGTATCTCAGATAATAATACTTTTGCTGTTTCTTTGCTGAAGGAGCCTGCTTCATTTGTGGTTAATTTTTTCTTTTTATCCCAGAAAGACCTACGTTGTCACTAGTTTTGTAATGGTATTTGTTACTGAGGTAGTTGGTGGAAGCTGTCTTTGTAGACAGTCTAGTTTTTCTAGCCATGCTCTGTGACAAATATCTGGAACGAGGGAAAATGGAAATAGTGATGTATTTGCTTACTACATGCTGTAAGGCAAGATTTCAGCATTTTAATGATGTACCTGTATCCTGTGGGTTATTCCAAAGGATATGAGAAATTACTAACCTGCCAGTATGTGGAAATGAAAACCTGAAGAAATTTTAATGTCTGAACTATGAATGGCATTATGGGACTGTACTCTTAAGGTGGCGTAAAAATAGATGAGGAAAAAGCAAGATTGTTTTCACTTGATTTTCTTGCCTCTGGCCATTACCTGCTGAATTATCACAGAATCATCTAGGTTGGATAAGACCTTGAAGATCATGCAGTCCATCCATTAACCTCACACTGACCGTTCCGAACTGCACCAGATCCCTCAGTGCTATGTCAACCTGACTCTTAAACACCTCCAGGGATGGGGACTCCACCACCTCCCTGGGCAGCCCATTCCAACGCCTAACAACCAGTTCTCTAAAGAAATACTTCCTATTATGATTTACTTTACATTTTCAATGAATGCTTTGGATTTTTTTTTAAGTACTTGGAGGCATTTAGGTATGACACAAGGCTGTTTTCAGGAGTCTACTCATTCTTCTTTCAGATAGCAAGCTCCATTGTCCAAAGTGTAAGGTTTTGTCATTTTGTCTACCAAAGGAAGAAAGATGTTATAAAAACTGAAGGTAGAAATGAAAACTGTTTATCTTACCTTCTACACTGCGGAAATCTCATTAGTGAGGCTCCATTGTGGGAATGGTTGGTTGGGTTTAGACTATAACTGTGGAACACAACGTAGCTAAAGACTTGGCCAGGAAGTCACACAAACTTACTCCAGTGCAAGGCATGTTGCTGGGTGAAGTGCAGCAGTTAAAAAAAGCTTATTCATAATTTCATTCACATGCAATGTTGACTTCTTGGTCAGGTTTGATCAACCCCTCCTGTCTTTGAGAAGGACTGTGATATTTTTGTACATGGACAGCTGAAATAGTGCTGTCTCGCCACAGCTAACTTCAAACCCTGGTGGTGTAGGATATTGATACTGTAGGTGAAAAGTAGGTCAGATGTTGTTATTTAATTAAATGTAGTGGTGTTCTATCATCTGTGTGACACAAAGCATGTCTGTTCTTGTCAAGTGTGAAATTATGTTCCATTCATTGCACTGTCATAATTTAGGAAATGGAGACACCATTAATTTTAGCTTTCTTTGATGAAGAGAGTGATTGTTTATGATATGCTAATACATGCAATTAATTTTATTTTTATTTCAGAGGTTGCACCCAGTGTCTGTAAATTGATCTAAATGATGGTTCTTATAGGAATTAATGCTCCATAATAATATATTGTTCTTGAATAGGAGGATTTTGAGTACAGTGTACTTAAATTTTGACATATTTTTTCTTTACACAGATTTTCCATCAGTGAACTGGGTCATTCAGTTTGATTGTCCAGAAGATGCAAACACATACATCCACAGAGTGGGAAGAACAGCCAGGTTTGTTTTCACTTTTCATTAACATTTTAATGTTTAAAACTAGGGACAGATCATTGGCTAAAGACACATGTGAAAAAAAAAAAAGGGAAGATGGGCTGTTATCATCAAAAGACCCCTTTGATTACTTAAGAGTAGTGGTTTGACTGAATCATTTCTTAGTGAGCTTCAGAGACTTCTTAACAGCAGACAAAAAAATCCCCCCAGTTGTTTAATTTGATCAGGGAAGATTAATAGTGAGGAAGCAAAAACTTCTTTTGCACTTGGCAGAATTACCTCAAAGGCTGAGCTGATCATATCTGTGGGTGGAAAAGCTTGGTTTGCTACCACCGTTTGTAGATAAATAAGGCATTAGGCTGTAGATCCAATTTCTTTGTGTAATTGAAGACTCTTCAAAAGAATGGAAATATTTCTTAATTTGCAAAGGAAGAAATCAAATAAACTTAATTACAGGTTAAATTTTTAATTTTCTAAGTCTTCTGTAGAATTACATTCTTAGGGATAGCTTTAGTTAAAATACTTGCGGCTAAGCCTTTATGTCAGAAGGGAGTTACCCAGATACACTGTTGAAAACCTGGTCCTTGATCTCTGAAGTAGGTTTTTAAGAGAAACAGGAGCTGTTACTGTGTATATTTCAGTAGATCAAAAACTTTATGCAATTCCGAAGGGTGTAATACAAGACCTGCCATTATATCTTGCACATAGTTTAATTTGTTTGTAGTAGGGTTTGCAGTATAGGCAGTTGTCAAACCTAATGACAGAGCAGTTACTTAGAATAGGACTTCAGCATTGCAGTATAGGAATTTGAAATCTATCTTCCTGGATCAGATGGCATTAAACTTTGACTGTAATAGGTGTAGTTCCAGCCTTCCTTTAGAATGTGGAACTTCTAGCCATATTTTCATCGTAATTGGTAACATTTCTGCCCCATTGTGTCCTGTGCTCATCGTTTTCCTCTCTACCTGTTATAATAGAAGGGAATAATAATTTTTTAAATGCTTTCAGAAAAAAATGTCTGCAAACAAAATCAACAAATATTATATATAATTAGGTAAAATGTAGGTATTTGGCTAAATTCAAATCTACGTGTAATGTCATGCATACCAACTAAGAGAAAAGCGTATAGTTTTAGTTAGAATTCTGAGGGTTTGCTTTTGTTTTTTTTCTTCTTTTAATCCTGTGTGGCTTCCACAGAAGGCTTGTAATTTTGTCTTTATGGCATACTGTCGTCTTGGAAGGGAAAACAGTATATTTGGTACTGTTTAACTGGCAGTTTCTAGGAGGCTTGTTGAGCGGTATTGCTGAGTTAAAGCACCTCCCTGGAGTCATAATCCTTAAACTTTTTCCCAGTTCTTATTGGGTGCTGAGAAGAGCAATTGTAAGTATGTTTAGAGAGGGGAAGGAGCTACGTAAAGACAAATAACCCTCCTTTTTCATAGTACTTTTAATAAAATGTCACTCTGACGAGGATGTTAGCCTTGTAACCGAAGGGTCTGTCTTCAGCAGCCTCTTAAATACAACCTTCTGTGATTGCTTGAAGGACAGATGTAGACAGAAGATTGCGGAAAAATGGTCGGTCCTGTAGACCATGGACTGTGCTGGATGTCTGACCCTTGTTTCACCAGGCTGTTGTTTACATTTTCTTTTACGTAAATTTTTCAGTAGCCAGCCCTTACTGAAACTGGGAGTACATCTGAACAGGTTGTTTGTGCTGGCAGGGTGGTGACTGATACTGAAAGCAAATTTCTTCTGTAGGAAAACCTTTATGGGATTTTTCTGTTTCTTAAACTGATAACAAGATCAAGGAAGGTTCTACCTATATTGGACTTTAATTTTTAAGAAACATAGAGGCTCTCTCTGTCCTTAAAGTAAAGCAGTCTTGAAAGGAGATTCATTTAGTGAATTTAACAGCTTGAAATAAATATTTGAAAATAAAACAAGGGAGATGTCTAATAGTTTTAGATAAACACTGTGCACTAAGTAAATACGCTAATGCAGTTTTAGACGTGGATAACTGAGAACTTAGTTCTCAGTGAACACTGTGTTCAGTAGAAAACTTTGCTTGTTTTCAATAGCTACAGTTAGTATGAGAAGCTTGTGTTTCTTCCAGAAATGTGATAAAAATGAACTGAACTGCAGTTTAGTAGTCCTTATTAATGAGGTTAGAGATAATTACAAATTTTCATGGGCTATGAGAGTGTATAATTGCATAGAATGGAAGCTAAATTAAATATCTCAGCTAATTAAGAAACTCTTAAACTGTAATTAAAACTGGGATGCCAAATACTGTTTACTTTTGAAATCAAATTATTTTGTGATGCAAAAGTAAATATGAAAGTCAAAAGAGAAATTGTTTTGGGGATGGGGCTGAAAAACCTTCGATTAAGAATTGTGGCTGTGTTCTTACATCTGTTTCACAGTTTTGCAAAGCCTTATTTAAGATGAAAAATAGTTTGATTTTTAAGTGGATAAGACCATCTTGTTCCCTAAGTAGCATTTCACATGTGTTTTATCCTGCTGAAGAACATAAATTGCAACTCCTGCATTTTTGATTTATGGTTAAGTAAGAAAATCTGGGTATTGTCCAGTAACACTTTTACTTTATAGTAGAATTGGCATATCTTGAGTGTGGTTGTGGTTTTGTTTGTATGTTTGTTTTCTTAAACTTGAAAGGTGTGTTACCATTGGAGTGATTGGAAGCTGTTTCTTCCAATCTGCTGCTTTTAAAGTATTTATTTAAAGTCTTAACTAGTTCAGTAACAGAATTTCTAAAATACTGACTGTCATGGCCAGGCCCATAAATATTTTTGGCTATATTTTTATCACACAATATCAAAAAGTCTGTAATTTAAAATACTAGATTGCAGTGTTTTCCTGTGGGTTTTAGTTTCAAAAATTCTGAGTAAATTAAGAGCTGCTTGTAGCAATTGTCTGCAGAACTAGTTTCTTCTGGCTTTTAATTTCTGTTGATGCCTTCTGTTCTGTAGCCTAAGAAGCCTACAGTTTAATATCTCTTTGATCAATTTTGTGAAACAAGATATAGTGCCACTAGGGGACAGCAGAAGATAATAATTTTTGAAGCACACCGATACGCACTTTTTCCCCAACTGTTTTTCCAAACATAATTTCTAAGTTGTATGGCATGAAAAAAGCATATATTGGGATGTTTTTCTTCCTGTTGTGATTGCATTGATGAGTAGAAAAGACACTGAAAAGTCTATTTTTATCTTTCTGCTTATGTGTAAATATACTGTATTTTGGATGTACCTGTATCCTGGTTTACATCTCAGTAATTAATTTATTTATTTCCTAACATTACATTCCTCCCTCATATCCATATTTTTTTTTCCCTTTCAGAAGAGACCAGTAATAACTGTTAAGTTTATTATAACTTAAGTTTAGTCATTTTTCTGTCAGCAGTCTTTTTTTAAAAGAGCCAGGCAGTGAAATGTTAAACAGAATAAATCTTTTTGCTCCGTGGTTTTTACCTGTGGTATGTCCAGAATTTTATATAGGCTTTAGGTCTGACTCAGACTTCTCAGGGTATTTAATCCAGGCTAGTTGGGTTAGGTTTCTTAGGTGCTTAAACTGATTTAGGAAAGTCACTGTAGTTTTGTTGTCATTAAATATAGTGTGCATATGGGCAAGCATGTTGTGTCTAGCTCTACACATGCTTTCTTGCTTTTGGTAAATTATATTCTGAAAATCAATGGAATAATAGAAGTCCATCTTCCCAAAGCAGGAGGCTTTGTTGCCTGCTGTCTTTGTACTGACTGGTGTGATGAATAGAGCCAAGAAGTATGAATAAAGACTTAACAAGATCTATATTTTTTTTGATGCCTTGTGAATACTGAAGAATACAAGCACATCACATTTTGGAAGGGTGAAAGGGGTGGGTCGTATAATGATCTTACTCTGTAATGAAGTGAATTCTTTGAAGCATGCTTGTTGGCTTCGCCTTAAGTAATCACACATTTTATGTGTGAAGATGAGACTAATAAGCCCTTGGAGTAATCCTTGCAAGTGGCAATAAAGCATTTAAAAATGAGTGACTTAATGGAACTTTTTTCAGTAGAATCTTGATTTTTTTTTTTTTCTTTTTTTTTTTCTTTCTTTCCATTGGGAAATATATCTCAGGGTTACATACATGTCTTGGATCCTGAATAATTTTTTTTTTTTTTTTTTTTTTTTTTTTTATATTTAAGACCCATTGAAGCACTTTTACTGATGTTTTTTTTAAAAAGAAATTCAGTGTTTAGATTATCTCATGTTAAATTGCAGTCAAGTCATCATCCTAACTCAAGTTAAGTAAAAATAGCTGCTAGCAGAGGTCACAAGAAATTGTTGACACCGTATGTTTCATGGGCAGTTCACATTATTAAGTTCTCTAAAATTAAACGCTGCACCCTAGCTACATTCCTGACAGTGGCCTGTGATGTTGCAGTCATACTGACTGGCACTGTGTTATCCATTAGAAGTCTCTTCATAATGGCATGATATGAATGTTCCTATACGCTGAAATATTAAGTGGCTAAGGTTATTACCTGCTGATGTGAAGCTGTACTGTAAGCTGTAATAAAAATTAAATAAGCACATGTATTTTAATGCAGTGGAGTGGACACAGCTGCTGTGGAAAATTAATTGCTTACAGTCTAGGCTGGAGGAACCAACAACCTCCCAAGGCCTTTTGAATTCAATTTATTCTGAGAGTAGCATGATAAGGTTGGTGAGCCAGTGCCTCTTGTCCATTATTTCTTGTGACTAAGTCTGTCTGGCATCAAGAACACCTATCCAGTACTGCTGAATGAAGGGGATTATGGTTTTGTGGTATGAATAAAACCCAGTTGCATGGTTCTCAGAACTTGGCAATATCTGTAAATGGCTACTGTCCAGACAGGAGAAGGCAAAGGATATTAAGTGATCAGAGGAAAACAAATGAAACTGAACCCCAAAATAAACAAAACATGAACCAATTTCTGACTTCATAGCAGCATTTACTCATA